GCGGGCTCTAACGATAAGAGTTAATGTTATCTAATGTAACATACTGTAATTAAACAGGATCTGACAGTTTTATAGCGGCTCTTATCGTTAGAGTTAATGTTATCTAATGTAACATACCGTAATTAAACAGGATCTGACAGTTTTACATCGGCTCTTATCGTTAGAGTTAATGTTATCTAATGTAACATACCGTAATTAAACAGGATCTGACAGTTTTACAGCGGCTCTTATCGTTAGAGTTAATGTTATCTATGGTCTATTTTTATTCATTCATTCATGTTTGCTGAGATTCATAAAAATAATATTTTCTATTGTTAGTTAATTTTTATACACGACTTACAATATTATTGTGGTCACTGAAGTTATTTCTGTTTACTTACATGTTCTTCAAATGATGTTCGTGTTATAAATCAAGTTTTTTCCTGAACAGCGCCACCTTTCTGGAAACAACAACCAGAGAACACGGTCCAGGCTATCATAGCTACACGAACGTTGATTGGTTGTTCTGTCGGGGGATATCCTGCTCCTAGAGTCACCTGGAAAATAAAAAGTTAGTTACTACAAAATGCCGTTATTTTTATTGAAGTTTTCATTTGATATTTCTGTCACGTTACACGATAAATAATTGATAAAATATATTTAGCGATGATTAATAAATAACGTAATACAAACAGCGTCTATTGTACAGAGATTTAAAACGAATATTTTAACTTTCTTAGTACGAGTGTTAGAAATTGTTTCTGTTCAATTAACATATTCTTCCATCTTTTAATAAATGTTCCTGTTGCAATTTTAAAACAATAGTTCACAAAATGTTGTTTAGATGGCGGTACAGAATACCTTACAATAACTACCAATATTCTTCAGATCCTTCAGGCTCCTTCACTCCAGTCTCCAGGAGCTACAAGATGAAAGTGTTGGACAACGGAACCCTGGTGATTAACGACGTTAAGGAGACAGATTCAGGAACGTACCTGTGTCAGGCTGATAACGGAGTGGGGGAAAAGTTGGAGAAAGCTGTCCGTCTGTCTGTCCACGGTAATACTTCTTATTTGGGTGTTGTTCAGTAACTCTCCGAGTATTCAAAGATTATTAAGTCTGATAAAAAATACATTGTTAAACTAACTGTTAAGCCTATGTTGGTATCGTTACTTGATACTAGTAACAACTTTATTTAACTAAGTGTTAAGCCTATCGTTACTTGATACTAGTAACAACTTTATTTAACTAACTGTTAAGCCTATGTTGTATTGTTACTTGATACTAGTAACAACTTTATTTAACTGTTAAGCCTATGTTGGTATCGTTACTTGATACTAGTAACAACTTTATTTAACTAACTGTTAAGCCTATGTTGGTATCGTTACTTGATATTAGTAACAACTTTATTTAAAATATTAGAAATAATCTTAAAGTATGAAATATCTGAAACAAAAATAACTCTAGATCTTTATATCGTCTGGAACATTTTTGTCATGAATGTTTTAATGACAGAATATCCTTAAAGATTATCTGTTGTAGGAAAGAATGTTTAAATTACTAAACTGTG